AGTATAAAATGAAATAGTAGTTAGATTATAGTTGGAATTAGCAATAGACTGTAAGCTATCAGTAAGTTGATTAGACTAAAAGATTAAGATAATTATTGTGAGTTAATTATTAGTGAAGGAGGTAGTAAAATATGTAAAAGATGTCAGATAGCTACAGAGTATGCAATATCAAGAAAGTTGACATGTAAGTTAAGAGTTTTGTCATTATTAATATAGCAGAATAGTTTTGTAACCAGGTTTGTAGAAATAAAGATAGTGCATTTGTTGGCAATTGTATTAGAATTAAGATGACATCTAGAGCATAATGTAGTAGTCGAAAGAAAAGTAGAATATAGGTTTGAAAACTTGGACTAGTATGAGCAGTGCCAGTATGTAATAAGAATAAGGCCTGTAAAAGTATTATGCCTTCTGGCCTTGCCAATAATTATTTGATCATTGAGAACATTAAGTAACCAGAGTTTGGTATTAGAGGTAAAATGGCCAGTAGTATATGAAAAGTAGTTTGTTTGAGGTAGGTTAAAGTGATATTATAGAATGCATTGATAAGAATAACTTATTGTAATGTTCTCAAAAGTAGTGAACCATTAAGATAGATATTGTAGATAAATTATTAAGAGTATTTTGTTTTTAATAGAATATAGTTTGAAATTGGAGTTTTGGAAATTAATAATTTCAGTTAATAATAAAATGTTTATAGTTGGAAGGTTTCATAGTGGTTTGAGTTGAAGAAGTTTGTTAAATGTTTATATTGAAATTAAGTTTTTACAGAATTTACATAGTTTGTATATGATTAGAATTTCTTTTCAAGAAAAACATGTAGGTAGGTAAAAGTGATCAAGATTAAATTTTAATTTAGTTTTGTTGACACTTTGTTTGGCAAAAGAATTGGTTATATTATGTAAAGTATTCTTTGAATGTAATTTGACTTTGTGTATAATGTAATTGATGTTTTTGAGTTTTATTAAATAATTAAGTATATGTATAATATCCTAATTATTTTGTTTAGTTTGTGATTTGTAGTAGTAGGGTAGTGTATTAAAAAGTGAATTTTATTTTTAAAAACTCTATCTTTATAAGACAACTAAATAATACATAGTTTATAACTTTCATAAAACATACTTGAAAATACTAACAAAAATAATCACTAATAGGCTCAATAATATTTTTAGTAAATATTTAATACACAATAAGTATAAGATATTGGTCATGTGTTGATAAATAACATAAAATTAGTTTAATCAGGCAAATGGTAATATATGATTGGCTGGCACATGCTACTTCGCAGCATGTACTAGATAATCATATGTCGCCATTTGCTTAATTAAACTAATTTTATATTATTTATCAACACATGATCTAATATCAATATTATTATATGAATATAATTATAGCTCAGTAAAATTTTCCTCTAATATATCTTCATTGGTATAAATAGATCAGATAGTTGATCAAAAAAATTTTTTAAATTGTTACAAGAATGTTGGCTATAAACTAGTTAACAGTAAAAAAAAAATGCCAAAGTCAAACAAGAAATCTTTCTGCATTACAACTGCCAAGGTTCAATTGTTTTTTTTTTGAAATTAGTCATATTTAAAACCAAACTAATATAATTTTATAGACTTTCAAGTATGTGGAGTTGTTTCCAAAAGATTTAAAAAATATTTGTAATAGTTCTAAAGTAAAAGTGATATATAAAGCAATACAAATATGATTAAAGGTTTTAGAAAAGTTCTGTACAGATATTAGTTATGAAAAAAGGATTGAGAATATTGATTCAAAGTCAGTTTTTGAAGACCAACTATCTAAATTTATGTGTGCAATAAAATGTAGAGATGGCAAAGAGTACCATGCATCCTTAATAAAAAATTGCATGGCTGCTATCTGGTGTCATCTTAATAAGAAATTAGGTTTAGTAAAATCTGTGAACATTTTAAATCCAAAAATTTTTTATAAATTCAATACTGTTATTAATGGAAAGATAAAAACACTCTCTTATGCAGGTCTAGGTAAATGTAATAGTGCAGATAGTTTAATAATTAATGAAGTTGAGCAAATTCTAGAACACCCTATGATTTAATGCACCTTTTCTAAAAGTTTATTACATTATATATTTTTTTATAATTCAATATTGCTTGCTTTATGTAGTAGCAAACATCAAGATCTTTTGATTAGTAACTTTCTAAAAAGGTTTGATGGTAGTATTAATGTTAAGTTGTATAGATCAAAGATAAACTAAAGAGGTTTAAATAATTCTGATGCACAGACTGAAACAATTAGTTTGCCAAATATAAAAAGCATTATAGCTGATTATGAATGTTATTTTATAAAACATTCAGTAAGTGCTGTTATGAACTTTTACTTAAAACCTTTTAATTAAGAAGATAGTAAGAAGTAATACTTTAAAAAATTTTTATGAAATTTCAGGCTTTTCTGGTCTACTAGTTTTTTTTTTTAATAAGTTAATCTTGTATACATTAATTGTAATTAATCAAAATGTAATAATAAAAATTCATTTTATTGCAGTAGAGTTTTACACATAATAGTATTATAATTATGCTTTGCCTGAACATTTATTAAAAAACTATTTTCATCAGATCTGTAAGACTACAAATATTATGATTAGAAACTGAAATATATCTAATTATTCAGGTTGCAAAACTTCTGTTCAAGTATTGAAAAAATTGAGATATTCAGATTTAATTATTATATCTATCACTTGTTACAAAACTCTACAAAGTTTAGCATCATATGAATGTTCCAAATCTGTAATGCAATAGCAAGAATTAAATAGATTTTTTAATGCATTAATGCTTGTCTCAAATTTTTCACTACCTAAACTACAAAGTAATAAAGCTAGTAAAATAACCAGTCAAGATGAAAAATTCACAAAAATATATAATATTTTCATATTAACAAGTAATTATTCATTATTTAACACAATTAAAGAATTTTCAGCAGCTAACTTATCTGAATCTTCTTAAGAAACATTATCTGAACTTGATCAAAATATGCAAAAAGAAATTAAACCAAATTTAATAAGTGAAACTAAAAGTCTTAAAGATTAGAAACAATCAACAAATAAAGAAGCATTTGAAAAATTCCTTACCAGAAATGTGTTTCATAATTGCACTTTTAATTTCAGGTCACTCTAAATAAAATAATTGTTAGTATTGATATATTGCATATAAAAAATTATTAAAATATGTAATAAAATATATACTTAGCTTTTAATACATAAATATTAAAGATTTGTTAAATATTTGTGATAAGTATTACTTCAATATTTGTGCATTTGTAAATATTAACTTGTGTAACAGTTTGTGCATAAAAATATTAGTGCAAAAAACAAGCCATAATCATATGAGCTTGCATGATAACAGCAATTATGTTGCCTTGGCCAATATCTCTACAGTTATACCAATATTTATACAATATAAAATATAGAAAATACAAATGCTTTAAAACAAGTACTATGGCTACTATCACAAGACATATTAAAAGCATATAATTTTGTCCATATTTTACTATTACACAAAGCTTTACAGTGAATAAAAATACCAAAAAACATAATATTTTAATAATTAACATCTTTACAGACTAAGTAAATACTATAATTACAAATTACAGCAATATACAAAAATATATAATATACAATAAAATAGATGATTAATCTTTTACTACAGTATATATACTATGATCTTCTTCTAACAAAAATTAAAAAAAAACACATAGAATATAAAATCAAAACAAATATATTTATTTAAATAACAATATTACTATATACAAAACCAATTATTTAGTACTAGTATATATAAATAATACTATTTAAATAGCAATATCAAAAAAAGAATTATCAGAAATTCTAATTACAGCAACTATATTTTATAACTTAACTAATATTCAAGTTAACTTAACAAATTAATCTTAGTAATAAATATAACTAAACAAACATTTAGTATAATATTTAACAAAACATTAATTGTTAGTATCTTAACAAAAAAAGTTTTTAGATTTTTTAAATATTGGTTTACAATAGGAAGAAAACAAATTTACATATACCAAATTATAATAAAAGAAGCAACCAATGCAATAAAAAAACAAAATATACAAAAATTACAAAAAAACAAACTATTTATATAATTAATATTGCAATACTTATTAGAATTTCTTATTATATTCAGAACTTCAAAATACTAAACACTATTTGTAACAATATTAATATAGCTATACAATTATAGCAAAATACAAAGCAGGCCTGATCACATTTATTTCAAACTTTATGATATTTATTACAAAATATATATTCTCTGAAAAGTCAATAAAATATAAAACTAATAATAATATTTTTTTTTTTTTAGTGTTAAGGTACTAATAATATATTGTTCAAATGATATATCAACTTAATTATTATAACTTTTACAACTTTATACTCAAAATTTGTTTATAAAAAATTTAACATGCAGTTGCAACTAACATATCTATATTAATAAACTATCTATATATACTAAACTATAAAGAACACTTCTCAATTATAGCAAAAATGCCACAAAGTTTATACTAAGCAAAAGTCTTAATAAAGTATACAGATATCTGGACCAAGTTTTTAAACTTTAAAAACACAACTATAAACTATATTCTAAAAAAGTCAAATTGTCTGTAAAATCAAAACAAAGCTTAACTAACTAGAAATTTATGCAATAAAACAATGCACAAACTATATATATATATATATTTACTTGGATGCATATTGCACAAACTATAATAAAATACAAATAAGTAAAAAATCCAAATAGTTTAAACAAATAACTTAGCAAACTAATAAAATTATTATTGACAAAAACTATACAATAATTATACCAAACTCATATATACTTAGAGCCAAACAGATTAACAAAAAAACTAAGTCTGTAATACTAAAATATAAAGCATAGAAAAATTTTTTTCTATAAAAAGTTAGCATGCAACAATGTACTATTAGATAATAAACTCAAATACACTATTTTATTATCATGTTCTAGATATAATTTTAACAAAATGCAACTATATAAAACAAAGTACACCTCTATTTATTTTATATTGTACTTTGAACAAATTAAAATAGACACAATAATACAGTTCAACAACAAGCTAAACTACAAACCTATAATCTAATTTATTAACAAATTATTTATTAATAATACCAACAAATTATTACTAATATAATTAATATAGTTTTATCTTATAACATAGCAGATAAACTTTAGAACCTTTATTAAAAAATATTAAAACCCAAATGACTAATATTAAACTACTTATTTATAAACCAAATTTAACTAAAATTACTTCTGTTTGCTAAAAAAACAATACATCTAAATCCTAATTTTGGTTTAATAACTATAACTAGTCAAGTGCTAACAAAGCATTATGCACAATCTTAATATGTATTATACTTAATAACTATAAAAATACAAATATAAACATATATACTAATAAGACACAATTTATTTAAAAAGTAGAATTAATCTTAAACACTCTATTTTGATGCAATATTCAGATTTACAAAACTTACTTTTGATTTAGCAAGCTATTACTAAAAGCAATTATAGAACAAAAATTTCAACAATTACTTTTCATTACTTTTTTTTTATTATTATTAATACTTTTTGTCAACTTTTTAATGCATTTTATTAATTTTTTAGTGCCTTTTTTGTTATTTTTTTTATGTTTTTTTTTGATATCTTTTTAATATTTTTTTTTGCAATAAATTAATATTAAATAGTTATTGTAATAAAAAGAAAATTAAAAATATAATTTAATAAACTAAATTATAATAATTTAATAAAAAATAAGAATTTTTATATTGTTGATCTTTTATATATGTCAAAAGTTTTCTAAAATATTTGATTGAAGGTTTTTTGATGAATATCCAACCAAATTTGATAAATGTATTTTATTTTAATTTTACAAATCTGTACTACAAGCCTTTAGAATTGAAAATATTACCAAGATAGATTCAATTGAAGTTCGAAAAAGTTTTAGTAAAAAAAAAGTAAAAAATTTTAGTGCTCTTTAATTACACCATCACAAGAATCAGTACACTAACGGATGATATACAAGAGAATTGGAATTTGACAAGACATTTTTGGAATTCTGACTTTTTAAATAGAAAATTTTTTAAAAAATAATAAATTTAATGGAATTTTACAGATTCCCGTGTGATGGATGATCATCTGCTTATCACAGTAATTTGAAAAGCACAATAATATGAAAGATAACATGGATGCGTTTTATGTGTTAAGGAAAATTTTTTTGATTATATCTATGACGTTTTGAATGCTTAACCTAACTTTAATTCCGTATTAATTATATTTTTAAAAAATTTTATGCCGATTGCATAATGTCCTAAGTTGTTTTCTAACTTAAGAATGACTTGCGTTGAAGTGAATGATATTAGGACAAGAAGCTTCAATAATAACTCTGTTACCAAACTTTTCTAATTCTTCTTGTAAACAATGTTTGTTACAGCAAATTTCATTACAATAAATAGGGATAAGGTTGTTTAACATATCTTTAGTAAAATGATATGAAAAGGTTTTTTCAATTGGTTTTTTTCCTTTAAATGTCAGTCTATTCTTAGTGAGAATTAAAACCATTAGGGTGGTATTATTGTTAAGGGAATCTAATAATGCCTTTCCTCCTTCAAAATTTAAGATTATTATTACTTATATCCAAAAAAGTCAGGCTGCTATTCTTACAAAGGGCTTCTGCTATCGCCTTTCCTCCTTCGACGTTAATTTCATTATTATTAAGATTGAAACGAGTTATTGTATTATTTTTACATAAAGTCTCTGCAAATGCTTTTCCTCCTACAGAGTAGAAAGAATTATCGTGAAGTTCTATAGATTTTAAAATATTATTACTGCAAAGAGCTTTTGCTAATGCTTTTCCTCCCTCAGGACCCAGGTGATTAGAACTGAGGTTTAAATTGGTCAGGCTAATATTTTTGCAAAGAGCTTCTGCGAAAATTTTTGCACCTTCAGGACCAAGTATATTCTTACTTAGATTCAGAGAAGTTGACGTATTATTTATGTAAAGAACTTCTGTCAATGTTTTTGCAACTTCAAAGTCAAGTCCATTGCCACTAAGATCCAAGGAAGTCAAGGTATTATTTTCGTAAAGAGCCTTTCCTAATTCCTTTACTCCTTCAAGTCCAAGTTGATTCCAAGAAAGGTTCAAAGAAGTCAAAGTGTAATTACTGCAAAGAAATTTTGTTATTGCTTTTCCTTCTTCATGTCCAAGTTTATTCCAAGCAAGGTTCAAAGATGTCAAAGTGCAATAACTATCAAAAACGTTTGCCATTAGTTTTCCACCTTCAAAACCAGCAAGATCCAAAGAAGTTAGAATGGCGTTTTTGCAAAGCGTTTTCGCTAGTATTTTTACTTCTTTATAATTAAGTTTGCTATAAGAAATATCCAAAGAAGTTAAATTCTTATTTGTACTGAGGACTCCCGCCAGTAATTTTTTTATTTCTTCTGAAAAATAGTTGTGTTCAAATTTTAGAGAAGTTAGATTGGTGTTTTTATTAAGGATTTCTATTGTCTCGTTATCAACAGTTCCATAAATTTTCAAATTTTTAAGTTTATCACATTTTCTTAAAAATATTTTTATAAACGAAAGTCTAACATTATCAACCATATGAACTATTTCATAAGAATCAATTTGATAATATAAAAAATGAACAAACCATTTTTCGATACTAACAAATAATTTATAACCTTCAATAGAAGTAGTATAAGCTATATAATCAAATAATGGTTTTGAGTATTTCGGAAGCTTTAAGTTTGATGGAATAAGTCTTTTTTGTTCCTGAATGTTTAATGAAAAAAAATATAACATTATAATCCTTCCATCAATAAAATAATCCAGTGGTTTGCTCCATAATATTGGTACTATAATTTTTGCACCATTTACGATTTACAAGAAGGCATGAAAATAAGCTTCCACCATATTTCTTAAGGTTATTAAAGCATTTAAATATTTCATAAAGACATTCATTTGGCAGCTGTTCGATCATATTTAACAGTATAAAGGTTGAGTATATTACAACACAATCGCTATTATATATTATTGTTTACGTAATACGTAACTCAAGTACCCCAGTGATTTTCACTGATCGACCAATTAGATTACAAAATCAGGTGTAATATGAAATCGAAATAAAAAACTATCATTTTTTAAATAAACTCTCTCTCTCTCTCTCTGCTGTAACTCAAAATTTCGTCTATGTAACCATCTTCTGCGCGTTAGTAAAAAAAATCATTGCAGAATTTTAGAATAAGACAGATATCGTTATAATTATATACCTGACCCTAATGTAATGTTTTATGCCTTTAAAAAAATTGTCGATCAGTGAAATCTATCGGTGCCACTGGGGTAGTTTGTACCACACGGGTTTACTAAATTTGCTCCTTAGTTCCTATTGAACGGAAAGAAATTGCATTAACTGTTACAGTGTTAGAATATGATACGTAGAAATTTGCATATTTGTAGCCAATAAAGCAATAAAATAAAATTCTGTTATGGTATTCATCCATAGTGTATAAGTAGACATGGTTAAATAGTATTTGTTGAAGCAGTTTATGACTTCAAAATAAAACGGCACGTATTTAATATTTAATTAATAATTTAATTCTGTACTTTTAATATCCCACAAAGATGATAGAAAGTTTGCATAAAAAATGAGTGTCACCACTGCATTAAGTATTCTAAAAATAGATTAAGAATTCACAATCTATTTTTAGAATTACCAGTTTCCTTTTAGCGACACTCAAATAATAAACACTCGGATATCTATAACGCAAAAAAAAAAAAAAATCAAAATGTTTCATTAACTTTTACGAAATTTTATAAAGTTTTGAAAGGTTTTGTGAGGATTGGAATTTCAGTCGTTTAAAAAATTGTTTATGGTTCCAACCCAATTATGTTGGTCATGGGCTACCACAACGCAGTAAAAAGATTTTTAATAATACAGTTTTTCTTTTTGGAAACAATAACAGAACTTTAACATCAAATACTAAAAACTTGCCTTATAATTAAATATCGAGATCTGAATATTTACATTTTTATCCAAAATTTATGTTTGAAAATTACCAAAAAACCACCTTTAGTTTCAATATTATCAACTCGGTTTCAGATTGAATAGTAGCCTGAAATCTAATGTTGGAAATTGTTTTATTTCTAATTCTGTTACGATTTCCAATATGCAATGACGAAAGAAAGATATCGATGACATCACTGTCATAACAGGTATTAACATGCATCCAATTATTTTCTCATGTAATACAAAACTCCCAAAGGGTACAGCAAATCAGTGGTTTAAATTTTGATTATCTCGGAACAAACGCGAAAGAAATATTCAAAAACTGATGTAAACTGTAAATTGACTATTTATGTACTAATCAAAAATGACAGAGATTAAATTTTACATATAATAAAAGTTAATTCACTTTCATGACCCTAAAATTAACAGCCTAACCATAAATTTATACCTCACACACTTAGTTTATATTACTCGTGTAAATCCGGAACAAATAGGTGTTATGGAGATCAGTATTTGTATTATGGAGATCAGCATTTTTATTTGGGACAGATTTGTCAATCTACTGTCGCTAATAAAAATAGAAATTAAGGTATAAGATTTGGTGGATAGCGTTATACGTAGTGTACGTAAATAATTAAAAGGAAATTGATTGAGGGCTGAATTGGATTGGCCTAAAATTTTTCTGACTGATTAGTCGTTTAATTTTGCCAACACTTAAAAAATAATAATACTTTCACAAATGCTAATGTCGTCTCATTTTGTTATTAAGCCTCTTATTATTGAATTGCAATAATATCATTTAGAGCTTAAACCATATTTATTGATGTAAATTTGTCGAAATTATTCAGTTTTTATAACAATTAATTGTATAAATTCATAAAAATTGAAAGTTGTAATTATAAAGTCAAATAATTATTAAATTCAGATCTAACTCAAAGCATCTATTTAAATTAATTTCTCAATACTCTAAGTGATCAATTCAAATCTTTCATATTACATGAACAAGCCATCCTAATGGTCACTAACATACGTACTTGATACGTTGCATTTAGAGATATTCCTCTGTAATTAATCTTAAGCATAAAGCGATAGATTTAATTCTTTATTAGATTTCACGTGATATGTGTAATTAAAAATTCCAATTCTTAACCCGGGTAACTCGCTTGAAATTATAAATATGGAACATCCCTGATTTTGAATTACGGAATAATTCCCATTTGGGTACAACATATACATGTATTGAAGTTGCCGTACCAAGACCGGAGTTATACGGAAGTAGAACAAAGGAGGGCGGCTTACTGTTACAATTTCTGGTGAAACCACCTCAAATATGGCATGTTGGCTAAAATATAGTATTCACTTTGTGTTACTTTTTTGATACATTATATGTGTATAACATTTATAATATCAACAATGCAATTTATGCAATATGTGGATCAATATATTGAGTTTGCACTGCTATAGCCGATTTTCTATAATTGGTTTGTATTGCTTCAAAGATTGTAACGTATTTAAATGGATTTTACTACCCCAATAAACCTTATTGTGTCTTTTAGAATGATTCAGCTACTTCCGAATGAATGCCTTTATGAAATATTTAATAACTTTAGCGACCTTTGGAAATATCGTGGAAGCTTATTTTCATGTCTTCTTGTAAATAGGCAATGGTGTAGAATTGCAGTACCAATATTGTGGAGTAAACCATTGGATTATTTCGTTGATGCAAAGATCGTGATGATTTATTTTTTATCATTAAACATTGAGGAACAAAAACGATTTATTCCATTAAAAATAAAACTTCCAAAATTTTCAAAACCATTATTTGAATATACAGCTTATACTACTTCTATAGAAGGTTATAATTTATATGATAGTATCGAAAGATGGCTTTGCCCTCCTTTAAATGAACTAATGTTTTATGAATCATCTCGTCCTTTAGACTACCCAAATAATTCTTATGAAACAGTTCAAACTTTTAGATCTTCGTTGATCAAGATGTTTCTACGAAAATGCTATAAACTTAAAAATTTAAAAATTTGTGGAATTATTGATAGAGAGACAATAGAAATCCTTAAAATAAACACCAATTTAACTTCTCTAAAACTTGAATGCAATAACTTTGATTCAGAAGGAATAAAAAAATTATTAGAAGTTCTACATACAAATACGAAATTAACATCTTTGGACATTATTTATAATATGCCTATTTATGGAATAAATAAAATAATAAAATCATTTTGCAATAATTGCACTTTGAAATCTTTGAATCTTTCTTGGAATCAACTTGGTTTTGAAGGAGTAAAAGAATTGGCAGAGGCTCTTTGCAAAAATAATACCTTGACTTCCTTGGTTTTTAGTGGCAACGAACTTGACCATGAAGGTGCAAAAGTATTAACAGAGGCACTTTATATAAATAATACTTTAACTTCTTTGGATCTTAGTTATAATAAACTTGGCCCTAAAGGTGCAAAAATTTTCGCAGAAGCTTTTTGCAAAAACATTAATTTGATCAATTTCAATCTTAATGGTAATGAAATTGGCTCTGAAGGAGGAAAGGCGATGGCAGAAGCACTTTGCAAAAATACTACCCTGGATTTTTTAGATGTTAGTAATAATAATATTACTTTTGAAGGAGGAAAGGCATTAATAGATTCCCTTAACAATAATATCAATCGAATGGTTTTAATCCTCAGTGGAAATCCACTGGCCCTCGGAGGTGAAAACACGTCTGTGGAATGGGTTCCCACTTTCCTTATTTGTTCGGGACTTTGCTGTAACAAACTTTGTTTAAAAGAAGAACTAAAAATGGCTGATGACAAAGTTATTATTGAAAACTTTTGTCCTGTATATTTTCCGTATACATATTTTCCGCCTCATTATACATATTTTCCGCGTCATTATGCAATGCAACTTTAATACTAAATCCACATATGTAACTTTAGCAAAGCATAATCAAATTTACGTTATATTCAAATTGCTATAGATATAATTTAACATTGTTTGCTATAACGCATTAAACATATCCACATTATTTTAAGTTATTATTCTTGAGTATAAGAGTTTTTTTTTACTAAAGTATATTTTTTAATTTATTTTTTTAATTATAATTTGTAGAAATTTTTTTTCAAAAACATGAGTAATTTTTTTCAAAAACATGAGTAATTTTTTCAAAAACATGAGTAATTTTTTTCAAAAACATGAGTAATTTTTTCAAAAACATGAGTAGTTGGGTATTCTATATTGTCTAATATCAAATATTATATGAACATGGTATTTCTATTATGGATTAAACTTAAAATGTTAAATATTATAAACTATGAATTTTTAATATTACAAATTTTTGGCAGATAGTATTCTATGTTCGTTTGTAATGAAAATTGTTTTTAATATACGGTCGATCTGTCTAATTGCGTATACCCCTAAATGCATAAAATATTTTGGTTTTTAATTACTAACGCAACAATGGTTCTTATAACTTAAATATAGAAAAAAGTCTTGATGAATGGTATGCAATTAAACAATATCGACTGCATTGTTTGAGATATTAGTTGAAGATTAACAATTTTGTATGTCTTTAGTGGTTTGCACCACACTTTTTTATAATCTATTATCAAAACTATCGTTTTAATCAAAATTATTAAACTAACTGTTTTATTATACAACTTTCTGATTCGAGTCATTATTCAATTAATGAATATTGAAAAATAACGTAGTCGAATAATAATTCATAACATATCCATGGTCATTACTAAAAATTTATTGAACATTGCAGGGTTGTCATGGGTTTATTAATTTATATTAATATAATTAAACGTGTAATTTAGAAATAAATTCACATTCAAGTTACTTTAGTCTGCGATTTTTCAAATATAGATCACTGCAATTGGAAAATTCTATGAGCAAAGTTTGTACCAATTATCCGTGTATTTATTTGGGCACAACCTCCTTTTAAAACTCCAGGGATCCTGGAGGATTCTTAAACTACATGTTCATAGAATAGCTTTTGCAAGAATATTTTAAATGTTGTTTTAAAACTGATTGTTTTTTTTAGATAATAAAAAACAGTTTTTTTTTAAATAGAACCGATTTTAGAATAATCTTTTAATATATTGCAAATCATTTCTATATTACGTAAAATTCTTGACTGTATTCTTTTTAAACAATAAATTCAAATTCCGATAATTATAAAAGCATTTAAATGAGAATATTTGAACCTAGATTATGGAGACACCGGACTTCAATATTTACATAAGTTATAACATACGACGATCATGATGTCACAAATACGCACCAAAGTGTCTGATTGATCAGAACTGATGTTCGCATTGCAGAATCCTTTTTAGTATTGTCAGGGATTTTTCAAATGTTGATCATCTGTGTGGGTGCAATCTACACTATTTTCTTTTCTCATATACCCCTTACCCCTTTGCTTCTTGATTGTATCCTTTTTTTCGCTGCAATTAGAAAATTCTATTAAAGCAATCATTGTCCGTGTATTTATTTAGGAACACCCTCCTTTTAAAAGCCTAGGAATCCTTAGACTACATGTCCATAGAATAACTTTTGCAATAATAAAAAACCGATTTTTTGGAAATCGGTTTTAGAATTGTCTTTTAATATATTGCTGATCTATTTCTATATCTGGTTGTATGATACGTAACAATAATGATTTTCATTTTCATTTATTCCAGTTACACGTATTATCATTACATTATTTCATACATTTGTTTCATAATGCTTATTGCTTGTGTGAAAACATTATCAATGTCGATTATATACTTAGTGTTCAAACTTACATAATAATTATTTAATGATCAGAGATACGTTAAATATACACAATCTGGCTTTCAATTATATTTTGTGTACAGTTGGCCATCTATCAACTATCTATCACACAAAATATAATTGATAAATTGTCAATAAATGGCCAACAGTACACAAAATATAATTGAAAGACCGATTGAAGTCTTCCTTTGACGGCACTCAATGGGAAATTTACTGTCACGTATAATAAAATACATGAATGATCTAATTTTAAAAACGTAATTTGACATTAAGACAACAAACAACATTAAATTACATATTTATGATTTGACAGGAAATTTGGATGAATTTTATTAATGAAATTAAATGGCATCAATTAGACAGTACAAAAGTAATTGACCAGGATTGGACAAAACAGAAATAACCTTTTAAGAAGTCTGCAATAATTATTGCACTGTAGAATTTATTAGCAAGTAGCCTCCCAACTATCAAAGTAAACCAGCTATAAGTAGAAAATAGATGTTGTTATTCACATTAGGTGGGTCAAGAACGTTTTCCTGATTTTGAAATTAATCCTAAATTTGTGTTCTTACTTAGTTGTTTAAATATATGTTCAAATAGTTTTTGTGTTTTTACTCAACCAATTCTACATTATTCGAGTATTATTCTTAACCTTAAATTAGACTATTTAGTTTTGCTAATGTAATTGATGGCTTAAAATTTTTTTGGATTTATTTTTATTATTATTACTTTACATGTTTATTTAAATATTCACACATTATTTTAGCAGATTAAGGTATATAATTGCCTGAAGAAACCATTGAAGAAATACGTAAAACATTGGTTTATCAAATAAAAAAAAAGGCTAAATCAACATTCAAAATATAATGAAAATGTTCACATTATGGTTAATTGTACAGAGAGTTAGTTTTTTAATGTTTTTAAAGGATTTATATATAATTATTGTCTGAAAACAGGAGGTTATAAGTGCATATTTAACGACGTGTTGATTCTTATTCTAGTTTATCTCAAATATTAATGTAAATTCTCGAAATAGTGGGCATCTGCGCGCTATTTTTAATTATTTTGAGTGCGCACATGGGCGTTATTTTGAGTATATGATTTGATTTTTTGAAAACCAGGTTTCTTTAAAATATCGTCAATGTGCAGTATTTTGATTGTTAATAATGTGCATAATAATTTTTATTAATACAACTCAACACAATAGCACAATAAAATATTATTGTTATCTATCTTGTGGTCTTTTCGTTTAAAGAAAGTTGATGCTAATGATGCGGTAGAATTGTCCCAAAGATAGTCGTCACATTTCCGTAACTTGCCGTAACTATAGCAAGTAATATTAGTCAGTCGAGATGTCACGCAGATCATTAGGGTAATTTTTTTACTATGAACTAGGCGTTTGAGTTGCTTAAAGGAAGTTAGAGAAGAGTGCGGTGTATTTGATTGTAATAGAAACTATAATTTTGGATAAACATTTATCCAAGTTAATGAATCTTGAATGAATAAATAAGATTTCATATTGAATAAGATAGCTACGTAATGTTGCCACGCAAAATAAGACGGAGCATTGTATATAGTAAATGTATGCATTTGTTATACTATTGGATTGTGCATTATATGGCCGAATATTCAATAAATCAAAATATATTCCTAGTTTTATATAAATTTGTAGCACAATGTTTATTTGAGTTAAAGAGTTAGAAATATGTTGCGTCTAAAATTTAAAGGCACATATGAAATTAGGTTGTATGAAGCTGTAAACTTGTAATAAGTAGGAATGTTATGGTTCGTCCCGGTCTGGTCTCAGCCCTAAAGACCGGTTCTAGCATAGGGCCGTTCATAGGTGGAGGCTCGTCTGATTGGTTAATAAATTCAATTTATACTAATTTTTTTAAATGGATGAGAATTAGATCTTATTTTTGGCTATGAAGTTCTACAGCTCTAATGAAACCTTTTATATGATTTTTTTCACTTTATTATGGTTGATTTTCGTTTTTTCTAAACTGTATAAATAATGTAAAATTAAATTTAATTATTAGCCAATCAGACAAAATTCTGCCTGGACCGTGGACTAGACCGTAGTCCAGACCAGTCTATTGGCTGGTTTTAAAAGTAGGTTATGTGGTTTTTAATGTCCACTATATATAAAAAGACAAATTAATCGATTTTGGCATCTCCAAGCATGAAAATTTAAAAACTTGTTATAAATTTTATATATATTAGATGTCTAATAATGCGCATACCTAGATCGATGCAAATTAGCTAAAACATGCACTAGTTGAAATCAAAAATATCAGTATCTTATACAGGTATGTTACTTAAAGCTAGCTTATATTGACTTATTAAAAATTATAAAATATAAGTTACATATAATATTTTTGATTTTAATTAATTACTAATAAATTTTTAACTCTAGACTCACAAAAAATTGTTCATATGGAATTTTGACTAACCGAATTTCAGGTTCAGATATAATAGAATAACTTTAAAGGTTAATTATATAACAGTATTCTGTGGCCTAATTGATATATACGGTAATAGACGACATATTGCGTTAATCCTGGCTCTAAATAAATATACAATTTTTTTACTTTGAAAACAAGTCATACTTTTTTGATCATAACTTTACATATAATTTTAAATCTTAATTAACCCTCTTCAATTTTTTTTTCGATCGCCCGTTATCTTTTCCATTTAAGCCTGTGATTGACCGTGAAACGTCTTAATTGTTGAATACCCTTTACTCATGATCCGCCACTTTTCCTTTTAGACTGATACCCGTTTACTCTTGATCCGCCACTTTTCCTTTTAGACTGGAACAGTAAGATCATCGTAGAAAATTTTATATGTTCTATATGTTCTGTACTTCTGTACTACTGAACTACTGAACTGCTTGCACGTCAGAATGTTCAGAAGTATTGAACAAGCCCCCAGAGATTTTTTATCATACTCGGGTTGTATTTATATTTTTTTCTTGTCATGTGATCTTCACTTTAATGAATCGTTATTCGCTTTGTTTTGATTGCCTGTTTGGTATTGTTTTGATTGCCTGTTTGGTATTGTTTTATTACCTGAATTATTTATGGTAAGTTTTCTTGCCTGGAATACTGAAAAAAAAGTATTAAGATGTCATAAAATTTTATTATGTTTCATGTTAGTATTTAGATTCTGGTAACTCTGCTCGTGCCACAAACTCATCTTATGATCGATTCATTAGTATGAGCATGTAACTTGGTTTAATTCTGCTAATTGTTTTGCTTTTTTTCATGTACAATGATTAACAGATTATTCATTTTATGAATAGGCATTAAAGTAAAGATGTTTCGTTCTGTCAGTCAGTTTTGCAAGACTATGAATTGGTTTTACAAAGGCTGTAAACTATAACTCATATAGGGGGATCTCAAAAATTCTGGGTCAGAATGCTTCAGATTTAGCCTAGCATTAGATAGCATTTAGTGATACATGTTAATCATTTCTGAGTCAAAATTATCAGCTGGGCAGTTTTACTTAATGAGTGAGCTATGGTTTTATTAGTAAAACTTTTAGTGATCTTGGGTAAAATTAGT